TGTTTAGTAGGAATGTATATGTAGAGCCTATATCAGATTGCATGCCATCTTGGGGAGGGAGACAGGCAGGGAAGGGGAGAAAATTTAAAACTTAAAAGCTTATGAAAGTGAATGTTGAAAACTAAAAATAAATTTTAATTTTTTTAAAAATTGGAAAAAATAATTCCTTAAAAATTAGAATAGAGCACATGGAAGCTAATAACTTTATGAGAAATCAAGAAACAATAAAACAAAACCAAAAGAAGGAAAAAATAGAAGACAATGTGAAATGTCTCATTGGAAAAATAACTGACCTGGAAAATAGATCCAGGATAGATAACTTAAAAATTATTGGACTACCTGAAAGCCATGATCAAGAAGAACCTAGACATCATCTTTCAAGAAATTATCGAGGAAAACTGCTCTGATATTCTAGAACCAGAGGATAAAATAAAAATGGAAAAAATCCACTGATCACCTCCTGAAAGAGATCCCAAAATGAAAACTGCCAGAAACATTATAGCCAAAGTCCAGAGTTCCCAGGTCAAGGAGAAGTTATTGCAAGCAACCAGAAGGAAACAATTCAAGGATGGTGGAGCCACAGTCAGGATAAACACAATATTTAGCAGCTTCTATATTAAAGGATCGGAGGGTTTGGAATATGATATTACAGAGGGCAAAGGAACTAGGGCAAAGGAGCCAAGAATCACCTACCCAGCAAAACTGAGTATTATCTTTCAAGGGAAAAAATGGACATTCAATGAGATAGAGGACTTTCGAGCATTCTTGATGAAAAGACCAAAGCTGAATAGAAAATTTGACTTTAAATTTCAAGACTCAAGCAAGAAAAGCATAAAAAGGTAAATAGGAAAGGGAAATCATAAGGTACTTAATAAGGTTAAACTGTTTACATTCCTACATGGGAAGATGATATTTGTACAGTTGTAAATCAAAATAAATTAATAAAAAAATTTTTTAATTGTTTTTACATGTAACTGGAGGACAATAAAAATAAAATACCATTTTTTTTTAAAAGAGAGAGAACACCAAAATCCAGCTTTCCTTTCATTTGGACTTTGAC